AGACTTTGGCTATAGCCATAGTTCTATACAAATGTCCTATTTATAATAATCTGTGTGAGGACATGGGACAAAATGCTATTAGGCACAAGCTCAAAGGAGAACCCCTGATGACTCTTCCCAGGGTGGTTGAGTTCTCATGACCACATGGTCAGGGACTCACAGAAGCTCCATTTAGGCACCTAATGACTTGGGAACATAAGCAGAGTGACCACATCCCTTTCATTATCATCACATGGACATGATAGTATCTAGACAAATAAACCATGTGTTTTTGGAGCACTTTCTATGTGCATAGTACTGTGCTAAGCTCAATGAAGAATGGAGAATAGTTAAAAAAAAAAAGAAAAACCCTATAGGATAGTCATGATAATTGCACAACATTGTGAATGTACTAAATGCCACTGAATTTCACGCTTAAAAATGGTTAAAATTGTAAGCTTTATGTATACATATATATATAATATATAAGTATATATTATATATATGTGTGTGTTTTTGTTTGTGTGTGTGTGTATACACACACACACACACACACACACACATACATTTTTTTTACCATAATGAAAAATGAACCTACAAAACCATTGAGAAATCCAGGTGTGCTCCAATAATAAATTAGTATCTACTAAGCACCCTTCATTTTTCTTCAGCATTTAATTGCTCAAGTGCCTTCTGTTCCTATAACTGTGGAACTTGCCCTAGTTCTTGTCAAGGGAAATTTAAAGAACTCTGGGCCTGTCACACAATGGCATGTCACCCTTGCTGCTGGTCCAATATTGTCTCTACCTTCTACTTTATTCCCTATGGCTTTTACTCTGGATGCATAAAAACTGGGATGTAATGAATTATATCAGATTAATCAGATTTATTACCTGTTTGGCCTTCAGGGTGTTGTTTGACAATAGTGAGTTTTGTAAAATTGATGGGAGGACTAACTGAAGTAATATCCCCTTCCCTTCTACTGACCCTAACTGCATTCCTGCTTTTGTCCCTGCTTACATGATTCCCTCTTTGGCTCCTTCCTTAGAGTTACATTTTTGCCACCACCTCTTTCCTAATTGCTGAATCCCATGATATCAACATGCTACTTCTGCTCTGTTTATTGCATACTCTATCTAGGCCAATATAATCCTGAATTTCTGTATATAGTAGTCTTTGTATGTTTCTGAGCTTTTCTGTGTATTATTTATTGCATATGGTTAAGAATTATAGACTACAAAAAAAAAAGAATTATAGATTATATACTTTTGGAATTCAGAACCAGGATAGCTCAGTGTTCCCTGGATTAACCAATATCTAAGACTAGAGCTAGCCTTGAAAGATGCCTGGAATTGAGTCAGGAATAAAGGAAAATAACCACAGTTTTGACAATAGTTTCTTAAACCCATAGCTTTTAGCACGTTAATAAAACTGCACAACTACTAGCAAGGCTGTCCAAGGCAGGGCATTTTTATTGATGTAAATAGATTTGGCGATGGATTTATTGAATGTATTACTGTTTGGTGGATATAGAGGATGCTGAGTGTACAAGTGACAAATATTCACTTAATCACATTTTTTTTTAAGACTCTTAAGTGCTCCTCTAACTGCTCACTAAGATTCAGTTATTTTTTTCAGGTAAATAAGGAGACCTAATTCAGTGTTTCTTAAAATGAAATCCACAGACACATTCTCAGAGTATTTTGAGACGTCTTTCCCTTTAAAAAGAGGAGTCTAACTCCTTTTAAAGGGATGCCAAGAACTTATATGAGGGGCCAAAGTATAAAATGTCAAGAAAGGAGTTTCAAGATTGTTAAATGTGGGAGGCCCAAGCAGATGAAAGCAGACATAAGCAAATCAGAAGCAAAACGGGGAGGTCGGTAGGTAGAGGTGAGGAGACTTCTAAGCCATCATTATTAGGAGCTTGATTTCCTGTACTGGGGTAAGGTTGTGTAGTTGTATCGTTTGGCCCAACATAAAGAGCTAAGGGCATGGTGGACTAGTGACCAAATTCAGCTCTGATGGGATCTAGTTTGGCATTGTGTATAGGCAGTGATTGACAACTGACACTAATTTGCTGCCTAATTGTGATGGTGTCATTGAGTCCTCTTTACTTACGAAGCAGAATTTGAAGATACAGGAGAAGTTTGGGATTCAAACTAAGAAGAAAAGGGGAGAGGCAGGTCTGTACAACTGAGGGGCAGTTGTTGATTCCAGGATAGTTGCTGATCACCCTCTGCCTTATCTCCATGTCCATATTTAAGCAAGCTTCCTGATGTAGTGAATAAGTACTCACAGGTTTGGGCTACTCCCCAGGGTCAGACAGACCTCATCGAGTACTGGCGATTGCAGTGATAGGGGAGCATCAGTGGTCTCACGCTTAGTTCTGTCTTGTGGTCTTTTCTCCAATTATACCAAAATATTTTTGTGAAAAAATACTAAAATTATGTTTAAAATTTTTTAAATTTTATCTTATTTGGAGAGAGAGAAAGTGTGCATGAGCACTCAAGCAGGGGAGGGTCAGGGAGAGAGAGGGAGAGAGAGAATCCCAAGCAGGCTCCGCAGCGTTAGCATAGAGCCAGAGGCAGAGCTCAATCCCACAAACCGTGAGATCATGACCTGAGCCTAAATCAAGAGTCAGGCACTTAACTGACTGAACCACCCAGGTGCCCCAGTTTTTTAAAAGTATTTTTAATTTTTAAATTTTACTTTATTTTAAAAGAAAACAATCATAGAGCTGCAGTGTCCAACCTTTTTTGGAAGGAGCATTAAAAAAATGTTTCCCTGAAGATTTGGGATCACACTTGGGGTATAGAAATGACAGTAGTCCTAGCAGGCTCCATCATCTTGATGGAATCATTTGGAGACTGAGAGAAAGGAGACATGTTGGCTATTTTCCCTCTACCCCATCAGCTCATCAGGATGTGGAGGTTGATGATCACACATGTGATTTATCTGCTGGCCCAGACTTTCAGGCAAGAATGGAAAGTGTTGAGGATGTCCCAAACAGAAACAGTGATAGAAATCCAGTGTCAGAAATCCCTACAGGTTGGATATTATGAATGGTGGCACTTATGCTTCTATGGGTTGGAAGAAGAAAGCTAACATTAAACAAGTTTTGTCTGAGGAAAATAAAAACTGAATGAATGAATGAATGGCTAGGAGACATCTAAGGTTTTCATGCCCAAGAATTTTCAAGCTTCATAGAAAAGAGTTTAATATGCTTTTTAGAAAAGAAAGATGGGAGTTAAGCTTTCTTGAGAAGATGAGAATGACTTTGTAAATTTTTCTCCTCACACAGTCACTGTCTCATTTATCCTCACTTCAACTCCATGGGGTATATCATTATCCTTCTTGAGAGATGACAATATTGACACCTTGGATAGCTGGAGTAATCTGTCCATGGGCACACAGTGCTGTGATTTGAACACAGGACATCTGGCCAAAGGTTGTGCCCTTACCAGTTATGTACATACATTAGTGGGTTTTAAAGTGTGAGAATCATGGACTTGCAGCACTCATGAGAAATGCAAATTCTCAGGCTTCACCCGAAGTCTACTGAATCAGAAACTCAGGGAGCGGCCCCATCAGTCCGTGCCTTCAGAAGTCTTCCAGGCGACGCAGGCATGCTCTTGAACACATGAGAACCATTGCTGTACTTGTGTCCGACAGAAATGTGAAAAGGAAAACTGATAAGGGACTTTTTCAGGGATTGTGTTAGAGATGTCAAGATAGCAGTGGAGAACACAGGAATGAAGGGATACCATGAAAGGTCTGACAGTGAAAAGGTACCCACTTGGTGTATGGGAAGGGAAGGAATGTCAGTAATGCTGACAGGAAGCAACTGTGGGGAAAAATCAGCTGATTGCATTTCATGTTCTTGAATGACAATTGGAGTTAGAAGAGTGTTACATCTGATTCCGTGTAAGTTAAGCGGGCAAATACTTCAGGATTAAAGTTGAATTATTTCACAGTCATTGTAGAAGTAGGATTTACCTGGGATCAAAGAGGGATTCTCTTCTTTTTTTCAGTGAATTGAAAAAGCACCTGAACAGTCTATATTGATGTGATGGTGGTTACAGGTGTTTATACATTCATCAGAACTCATCATCCTATACCCTTAAAATGGGCACATATTGTAGGTGAATTGTCTAAATAAAGCTTTTTTAAAAGTGGGCATGTGCTCCTGTGGCAGGTAATGAGTTCCTGTCACTGGAGGTGTTTGAGCTGAAGTTCAGTAACCACTTCTGAGAAATGTAGTGGGGCTTCACACCTTTCAGGGAAAAATCATTCCTTGTGCCCAGAGATTCCATGAGTCACAAGGTTGCCGTGTCAGAGTAGGTGCTGCCGTGTTTCATAGAATGCCTTATTAATATATTTGATCGGAAATATTTTAACTTGTCATGATTTTAAAATGTATTAAAGTGTACAGGTGTGAGACTCAGGACAGTGAATTCATCCGCAGCCCCCTACTGCATATCACAAGTGGAAAGATTTCATGACAGATCAAACCATATTGTCTTCTCGTTCCTAAAATGTAATAATTTGTATTCATTGGATCTAAGCATGTTTTACTCCTAAGGGAGATTTTCCTGTTTTAAATCTTTGAATCTTCAAAAAAGGTAACTTAGGAGAAAGGTTTTTTGTTTCATTTTGTTTTGTTTTGTTTTTCATCAACCTCCACATGACACGTAAATGCTTATTTGGATTTTTCTTCTCTTACAAAGTAGTTCATTTGGAGAATAATATGTTTGTATGTTTGAATGGATTTTAGTGTGAGATCCTTTTTCTTATAAAGGTGCCACCCTTTTATTACCTAATAATTAAGTCGCCCTTTTTTTTTTTTTTAATACAAGTGAATTTGTACTTTCAGCATAGTTTATCAGACACTATTAATGAACCACTATTCAGACAGCAAGGCTGCAGTACACGGGACCCTGATTACAGGAATTAAAGTACTGTGTATTGGCTGACTGCTGCTCCCCAGCAGGACTGCTCACTCATAATTCCTTTGCATCTAGTCTCAGCAGGAGAAGATTGACAGCATTGAAGACCATGTCAACAGAGCTGCTGTGAATGTTGAAGAGGGAACCAAAAACTTGGGGAAGGTAAGATTCTGCTCCTGCTGACAAATCAATGGTACTCTGGCTCCCAGGAATCTCCAGTATTAACCCAATTGATCTGCTCTCTTTAATGTGGAGGGAACCAGCAATTAAGGAAATAAGGAACAAATGACACATAGGTAGTGCAAGAAATCAATGACTGTTGTAATATTTTACTCTCAAGATTCGTTCTGTCGGGAGAGAAATTTTTCAGAGAATAAACCAAAGCCCCACTAGAAGACATTTTGGTGTTATAAGGACATATTTGCAGAAGTGCAGGGAATGAAGTAGAGGGTTGCCAGAATCCGGTAGGGGCAAAAGTGTAAGGATGTGACCGTACGGGTAGATGGGACCATCTGTTTTCCATAGAATATTGCTTTTAACCCCAGGTATACAGCATGGAATAATCTCTGTGCAGCATAAAAGCTTTGGGGGTATCTATAGCAGCTGAAACTGTTGAAATAAGCCTGCTAGATAGTTAGTGGATTGATTGTTTTGCAAGTAAAATCAATTTGTAGCAGTCCACTTTTTGTAGCTCATCTCTCTGAGTTCTGAGATCAGGAGCAATTGTAGTACCTGTGGAATACTTCCCCCCACTCCCCAATCTCTAGGGTTAATTATGTACCAGGAGTTAAAGAGGCATTGCCAGGAGTAATGAGAGGAAAATGCACATCACCACAGGCAGATATTCTCAACTCAATTTCTAAATTGAATTTTTTTTTTTTTTTTTTACAGGCTGCAAAATACAAGCTGGCAGCTCTGCCTGTGGCAGGTGCACTGATCGGAGGAGTGGTGGGGGGTCCGATTGGCCTCCTTGCAGGCTTCAAAGTGGCAGGAATTGCAGCTGCACTTGGTGGTGGGGTGTTGGGCTTCACAGGTGGAAAACTGATACAAAGAAAGAAACAGAAAATGATGGAGAAGCTCACTTCCAGCTGTCCAGATCTCCCCAGCCAAACTGACAAAAAATGCAGTTAAAACCCAACTTCAGTCTTATTGGCGCCAACATGTCTATCCTAATGAGGACCTTTGCTGCTGTTGGACACTCAGTCAGTTTTGGAACATGATTATATCAAGATAGTGGCTGTAGATGTTCAAGTGGGATTGAACTGTGATAAGTGGATATATTTTGTTGTTTGCTGGAGTGTTAATGGAGATGTTAGAGATTGAGGAGCCTGGGATGAGGGTGTGTAGTGTTGTCGGGTAAAGTTTAAAGACTGCCAAGGAGCAGGTTTTCTGCCTGGAAATGTGAAAATTGAGCTTACAACTCTGATAAGACTTGAGATGTATGGACATGATGGGTTATGGAAGACTAGTTTATTCTATAACCCTGACTTGGAGACCCTAGGGTTAAGTATCTTATAAATATGTTTGTTTATCTCCCAAACATAGGAGATTATTTGGCCCATTAACAAAGAAAAGAATGGGGAGTTTAGGAGCCTTTCTTATCAAATAAGGAAGTCGGGATCTCACGAGGGGGAACAGGTGAGCTACATGGTGGAGTCCATTTGGTGAACCTTATTGCAGTTTGGTCACCTGTATTTTCTGGTGACGGACACTAATAGTGTCAGAAAATGGAAAGAGAGGTGCAACTTCTCTTTCAGGTAACTTAATTTGTGACACTGGCTTCTTTTCTGAACTCTTCTTTCTGTCTCTCTTTAAATAAAGAACACAGAATCTCAAGTGGTAGGAGACTATTAAGCCAGTCACTGAGCTTGCTCTGTCAGTCTGTCTCTTAACCCCTCAAAGATCCAGTGGCCTCTGCCTTCCCTCCCTTGTAATTTTGAACAGTCCTTTGACTTGTGGGGTGAATTCTACCCATGTGTAATGAGGACTTTTCTCATAATCTGCTTTCTTTACTGTCTCCCATCTCTGTTTCCTTCCAATCATCCTTACTTGTAACCTCTAGGTGAAAGAGAGAAAAAAAGGGAAGAGAAATCTCCAAATATTTCCAACATTGTTAGAGTTTGAGGTAAAAAAAATAAATAAGCAGAAGGTAGGGGGACACCGGATCATTTCTTAGGGACGTCTTACAGTTTCAGGAGACTGATGGCCCTGCCACACAGGACTCTCTGGCCCTAAGTCTTTCTGGCTGGCCCTTGGAGGAGGGCTTTCTACCTCACCTCTGTTATGGCCATCCTTTCCCCAGGCTCTGCTGTCTCCTGTGCTTTCCTTTACTTTTCGCAGCTGCTATTTCTTCCCAAGAATGGCGTTCTTGCCTGCCTTTTCTCACATTCAAGATGATAGACAAAGCCTGGTGCCAAGACTCCGTCCTCACGAAGGATTTGTGGTGCTAATCCCAACAGAGCAAGCATGGCCCAGCCTAACCTAGTGTCTGTCTTATCACATAGCAAAGGGATTTTAAATTTGGGAGAAAAGAATTCAAAATCACAGGTAGCCTCATTCTGCACCCCCAACTCATTTGAAATAGGAAGGAACTTCCTTTTGCCTTAATTTTTACTGTTTTCTGAGAGCAGAGGAATGGGCACCTATACCACCAAATGTGTCAGCTCGGGAACCAGATTCCTCAGGTGGTTGAATGGTTTATCACTTCTCTCTTGTTGAGTTTACTCTTAATAATTTTTATTAATTCTACCTTTTACTTCTTTGTCTAATCTAAACAGACCTTTCTCTCTCCCACTTTCTTGACGGTCACTAATGAATCTTTTTTTTCCCTTTTATTTAAATGCAAGTTAGTTAACATATAGTGTAATAATGGTTCAGGAGTAGAATTAGTGATTCATCACTTTACGTCCCACTCACCAATGAATTCTAATGAAGAGAAAGCACCATTTCTTACTGTCATTCAACAACTGGAAAATATCAAGTATTGCTAACTGTTGACTTGTATCTTTAGTATAATGCCAAGAAGGAAATGCTTTGAATAAGTGTTGGATTCTAATCCAGTATTTGATATTGGATTCCTGTAAGGTTGGGATATTTGGAACTCCACCTTTTTAAATATTTTCTGATCCTCGCTGTCCCTTTAACAGAGGGTATTCAAACCAGAGTGAGGATCAGAATCACCCAGGGTCCTTGTTTAAAACAAGATTGCTAAACTTCAGTCCCATAGGTACTTCTAATAATGGCCAATCTGGCCTGGCCAGCCAAAATTACAAATTTAAGGTAGAGTTACATCAAGATTGAGCTGTGTCATTGAGTTCTGTAATTTCTAGTATTCTTCCCTTCATTGTGGCCCAGTCTTCATCTCGACATATTACTCCTACTCTGCCAACTTGGCTATGCGTTTTAAGCCCACCTGCTGAACAGCACCAGGGACTAGTTTTACACTGGAGCTGGAGGAGGGAGGAGGCCTGTAACTGAAGCTCACATTTCGTCTGGGGATCTCATTTATACTCCCACTGCATGTTCCCATATAGACCTTTGGTTTTCAGTAGTCGTCAGGATCGGAACATTACTCTAGCAGTCTTCATGTTCAGGCAAGTTACAGCCCTTTTAAAAAGTTTTACAATTTAAAATTATTTAGAAATTGTATCTAATTTCCCCATAATAGAACTTAATAGCTAACTTTTTGTAGAAATTTCTTGGAAGTGTTTAATCAACCTATCAAGTGTTTAGAGGTATAAATTAGACAATATGACACAGAAACCAATCTTAAACTGAATTTAATGCCCTACAGTATCAGATTAAGTTCATCTTCTCTGTGATTCATGTCTTATTTTTACTAGATCACATTAGAAGATAAGGGGCACTTTGATTAAGTTCTTAAAATTTACAGAGGTACCAACTTCCAGTTATAAAATAAAGAAGTCACGGGTGAAAAGTACAGAATGGGGGTGGGGAGAATGTACTGAGGCTCATTTGGATAAAGGCAGTGCTCCTAAAGACTGTTTTTCCTGAAGACTTTTGTGATGTAACAGTTTTGAGAATTTCTCTGTAGAGCAGAGACTTTGAAACTTTTTGGTTGTAACTCACAGTAAAAAATGCATTTATATCAAAACTCAGCATATGCATAATGGAACGACATTATGTGTAGGGTACTCTGATGCTTTTTATTGTTTCAGTTTTAAAATATGCTGGTTGCAACCTACCAAATTGATTTCATAATCTACCAATGGATTGTGACCCTTAGTTTGAAAAGAAGAAAACACCTAATGGAGGAACTGATATTTATTGAATATCTTTTGTTTTCCAGGCACTTCACTAGGCATTTTACAGGTAAGGACACTGAGTCTCAGAGATGTTACATGATTTGCAGGGGGGTATTCAGGTGTAAAAAGTTGAAGCCAGGATGTTCACTAGGTCTCTTGAACTACAAAAATTTCTATTACTCTCCTACTATGCTACTTCTGTATATAAAATTGAGGTAGGCCATTCGTCCTGCTTCAGCCAAACCCCAATTTATTCTGTAAGGCAGGCTTGCTGTGAATTTACATATGCCATTCGTTTGCAGTGGGTTTTTTTTTTTTCCTAATCTTTTGTCACAAAGTGTCCCACATCCTCAGAGTTTTCAATAGTGGCTGATGCAGAAGTACCCAGTGCTGAATTTGGTCCTTAGACTATGAAATTAAAAATGTTTCCATTCCACCTGCACATCCTACAAATTTTCTTGTATTCCATGGGTTAGAGCCATCTCTTAAGCAGTGCTTTTTGATATTAACAATGAACTCTACTGCAAAATCTATCATAACTCATAGAATCAAATGATTACACTCCTTTAAAATGGTACCCTTGGGAGGCCACGCACTTACTGTAGTGATGCTAGTATTACTTAGAACATTTTTGAAACTTTTCTTTTGAAATCATCTCCAAAGACATTTTATCAAACACACAGAAAAGCCACCTCGGTGTTTATTAGTCACAAATTACACTCCCTTGTCCTTGTGACCTTTCCTCTCTCCCTTTCTCAGTTTTGCTTTTCTTCTACTGGCTTAGCTCTCCTACCCCCCTATTCTGGAGCTAGTAACCTAAGGATGCCCAGAAAGGGGGTGTGCTGGCCAGAGTTCCTGGAGCAAGAACTTTTAGTTTTTATTGATGCTGAATGCTGCAAAGGGAGAATCCTATGAGTCCAAAAACCTTTCTCTGTGGGCTGCCTGCCTGCCTGTAAGTGTCCTACGTAGTTTGCACAGGAGTAAGGACTGAATACTGGTAATATCAATCACAGGAAGTTGAGGAAGCCTGAAATATACATAAATCATGTATAACATTTTCCTCCAGTGAAAAACGGAAACCAAACCAACCTATGCTTTGTGTTAACTTAAAACTGAAAGGTCTTTCTCAGGGCCCCCTTTGCCCTTCATTGCTGCCACTTGAAATCTGGGAGGAAGAATGATGTAAAGCTTGGGAAAAAGGTTCTCCTGTGAAATGGACATGTTCTTCTCTTGTAATCAAGCATAACATGTCTTTGGTTCTCAGGTACTTATGAATGTTAGACAATGTTCGTAAGTAGTCAGAGGACTCATAAAAGGTAGGAAAGCTTCCCCGGTATCCTAAGATAATGTAAACAATTGAGGTTCTGTTTGTGTTTTTAAACAACACTTCGTTTTGTTTCTAGCAAGTGGTTCTCACTATTTATATTCATTAATTTGACACCATTTTACAGAGAAACTTCTTGGGTATTATAAACAATCAGTGGCAAAATGTCCATATGTTATCCACATTGCCACCCTCGAAGAAATTATTTATTTTTGGAGATAAAAAATATTTATGTGCAAATTTAACAAAAGAAATAAATTGAATAAAAATGTAAAAAGGTGTCAGAGGCAAATGATTTACCCAAGATCAAAGCTAGTTAGCACCACAGCTAGAATTATAACCAAGGTCTAAGAAAAAAAATCCTCAAAGTAATTTAACTGAGGTTTTGTTATGTCATATTAAGTTGCCTGCTGAGGCTTATGGACTTTCAGACCAGCTTTAACATTCCAAACCAGGCAATAGCAATAGTGAAAAGGAAATTGGGTGGGGAATCAGGAGATCAGAGGCTAGTTTTGGCTTTGTCTCTTGCATAGTAAGCTTTTTCTCAGGGGTGCCTGCCTTCTCCTGCTCCAGCCAGGGATTCGCCAACCATAAACCTTAGGGGTTAGTAACTTGACTCTCTGCATTCTTTATACATAGCCACTTACTGAGTCTTGTCAATTCTACTTTGAATGTTAGTTGCATCTACTTATAAATATATTCATGGTCATCACTCTAGTAAAAAACTGTATTTCCATACACCCCCTGCCTCATTTTCCCCAACTTTAAGCCATTCCTCACATCACTGCCACAAGAGTGAGAACTAGGTCCGTCTTCCATTTTTCTGCTGATTGTCAGTGGCTCCACTGAATACTTGATAAAGTTCAGACCCCTTCGGTTGGCATTCACAGCTTGCCATATTCCGGCCCCAGCTTTATCTCTTCAAACTCAACTACTCCCCATCTGACAATGCCACTGAGAATCAGACATTCCACAAAAATGATTTTAAAGTTTTTCTGTGAAGTTACAAACTGGCAATAAACTGTTTACATTTGTCCAGACGGAAATAATTTCTGTAATACATTTTACAGAACTAGTTAGCCCAAAAGTTGTTTCTTAAGGAAAACCTTTTGTCCCCCCAGAAGGAATTATATTCAGTTTCTTAACCTCCAAAACAATGTCAGTCCTGTTGCCTGTGTATGTCCTAGCCAAAGCGGGGGGTTTTTTTTCAGCAACATAGATACTCCAGGCTTGAATGGACCATTGTCCAGCTCCTTTGAGAAACTTGACTAATAAATATTTGAGAAAAACAACTCAAGAGTACATGTTATTCATACATTTCTCAAGTACTTGAGATTTTCTTGTATTATGGTTAATCATTAAAAAGATGTTTACCTGCGTTTTAGTAAATCTCCTAAACATAGTTTCCATTTTATTGTTAAACCCTTGATGTTAGCAAGGGTCAGCACAAGAAAAGGCCCAATGGTGAGAATTTCTACAAATTCTGTAAAGCTTACTGAATTCATTATGTTGTTGAGTGGTGCTTGTATAAGGAAACATGCAATAAAATTCATTCAACAAAGATTGGACTGAATGCCTGTTATGTGTTGAGTACCAGGGCCATATATAGAAAAATATTAGACCTGTAGAATCTACCCTTGTGAACCATTCTGGCTAATGAATTCAGATCCATAAAGCAAGAAGTCACAGTAACACATGGTAAGTACCTTAAAAGAGGAATGAACAAAGTTAAGACGGAGTGATTTGCTCTGCCTGGAAACAGGAGAGGCTTGGTGGGACATGTGTTACCTGAACAGTACCTGCAGGAAAGATATGCCTGACTGAAGACAGAGTTGTGGCCTTTGAGGTGGCAGAGGAATTGCATGTACGTAAGGCTGAAAACATGAAAGAGCATAGTGTGCTTACAGAAAACCAAGGAGTTAAATGTGAGCGATGAAGCTGGTAGGATGGAAATACAGAGAGAGTGGTATTATATGTGTTTTTAACTTAATAATTCTTTGTTTAAAGGAATCAATGGGTTGCCTTGATTCAGATCAAGACTGTTACAACCCTCAGAGTTCCTCGTTTTGCCTTCCTGGCCGGTGAAGTTGGTAATAAACCTCACCTTTGCCAGGGTTCTCAGTGTATGCAGCCTATTTGCTTTTCTTTCCCACATGCAAGAAGTGATTTGTGCTTTCTTGCCTCTCTGCTGTGAGATCCCCTGCTTCATATTGAATGCCTGCTTTCTTCCTGTCCTGCTATTCATTCCATAAATATTTATTGAAAACCCACTGAGAAATAGTCACGAAATTTACCTTTGACTGTCCAAGACTTTCATGGTCCAGTTTTCCATCTCTCTTTCTTGATCACTGCAGTTCATTGGCTCCCATTTTCACTTGGGGCTAATTCTGCGATGTTCTACAACTTCATAGTTGTAAACATCTATTGTCCGTGGTTGTTGGATCTCCCCAACTAGACTGTAAGCTGCTTTCAGGGCAGGGACTTTATCACCTGCTTCTTGGAGTATTTCATGGCATGAAATAACAGTGATGAGAAGGAAGAAATCATACACACACACACACACACACACACACACACACACACACACCAGTAGTGACTTCCAGATGACAAATGATGGGCTCATAGTACGTGTGCTGCTCCATCTTTCAGGGATATGTATGGAAATGTGAAAAAGCCTTCTAAGACCTTTCAAACCTTTGCTCAGTACCACTTTTGTATATTAACATAGGAATGAGGGATGCAACAGAAGAAATCTGGAAAATACCTCCAGCACGTGGGAGCCATGAACTGAAAATTTCAGAATTTGGAGGTAAAGGTGTTTCTATTTTTCTAATTAAAAGTCATGACTTAGGATATAGGACCTGACTCACTGAAGAAATGGTGTAGAAAAATTGGGTTTATCTTCTTTCTTACCGTAGGACTGATGGGGTCAGAATAGTAGGCACCCAAGAAGGATTTATAATCTGATGGCCTAGTATTGAGACAAAGTAGAAGCAAGATTTTAATTGCTGTGAGGCAGAGATTGGAATTCAAAAAGGGCAGAACTGAAAAGAGGTAGGCATGTGACAGGATTTTGACCAAGGTCTCTAATACCCAAGTTCTTGTACTTTACCCACCAAACAGCCTCTCAGTGAGCTGATAGGGAAGAAAAGGAATAAAGTGCTTGGCACTTACTAATTCCCCATGGACATTAACTCCCTTTCTTTCCTCCCTAGGTTTTATTGTTCATAACAGTGGCCTGTTATTTGGGTTAGAGTGAAGGTCAACAACTTGGGACTTCTTTAGCCTTCCCTTCTTGAATCGCCCCTTCCCTGTTGATACCTTGCCTATCCTACAGGGTGGTCATGAAGATTAAAAGTATTAGTACATCTTAAGTGCCTAGAATGGAGCTTGGCTCATCATAACTGCACAAATGTAAGTGGCAAGTGTTATTGTAATTGTTATTTTTAACCAAAGTTTAAAGGAACAACACATGAATGAAAAAGTATCATGGACCTGTAAGAATAGTGTTAGGGAGCCACCTAAAATGAGTGGAAACTTGATGGAAATACCAGGAATTCTTAAAAGGACTTTCTAAAAAAAGAATATGGTGTGGGCACCTGGGTGGCTCAGTCAGTTGGTTAAGCCTCTGACTTCGGTTCAGGTCATGATCTCACGGTTTATGAGTTGGAGCCTCGCACCAGGCTCTGTGCTGACAGCTCAGAGCCTGGAGCCTGCTTCAGATTCTGTGTCTCCCTCTCTCTCTGCCCCTCCCCTGCTCTCACTCTCTCTCTCAAAAATAAATACTAAAAAAAAAAAAAAAGAATGTGGCATAATGATGACAGGTGACTGGTTGGGAATAAATCTTTTTCATCTCTGATAAGAATGATATCCAAACATGATAGGGTGATGATACATCCCAGTTTACCTGGGACAGTCTTGATTTGCATCTGTTGTCGTGGTGAAATTATTACTAGTCCTTCCTTTCACTCTCACATGTCCTGGTTTGGATGATAAACTTACATGGTCACCCTATTAATAAAGGCAATGAAAATAAGTGCAAGGTTATTCCCTCCCTCCCCCTCAAAAAAAAAAAAAACTGTTTTAAAATAATTTGTTGTTTCTAGGCTTAGATTTTAAAAAACATCCTCCTGGGGCGCCTGGGTGGCGCAGTCGGTTAAGCGTCCGACTTCAGCAAGGTCACGATCTCGCGGTCCGTGAGTTCGAGCCCCGCGTCGGGCTCTGGGCTGATGGCTCAGAGCCTGTTTCCGATTCTGTGTCTCCCTCTCTCTCTGCCCCTCGCCCGTTCATGCTCTGTCTCTCTCTGTCCCAAAAATAAATAAACGTTGAAAAAAAAATAAAAAATAAAAAACATCCTCCTAAGGTTTGTGGGAACTGTGGATGTGATTATAAAGTACTACCAGTAATCTTGGGGGAACCAGAAAATAGAAAAGGTGCCAGAACACTGAACTTAGGCAAAATTCTAAAATTTAAGAGGTAAAGTTCTATTTCAGAAGCCACAGACCAGGTAATTTACTTTATAATCTAGAAAAATTCTGAAATAGACTGTTAAGCAGTGTGTTAAATCAGAAAGTCATGCTCATTATGAAGATAGGAAGAATTGATAAGTCAGAATAAATGCCCTGTTCTATTTCCCTCTCTGTGTGACAGCTTAGGGATGCCCTCTTGGGCAGTGGTTACGGCAAGAAAACAGTCACAGTACCAGGCTTCCAAGACTGATCTGATCCTCCCTATGGCATGTGCAACTTTACACATGGCATCAAGAGTGGCCATACAGCTTCCTATCACCCACCCCAGTAAGTAATATGAGACACAGCGCAAGATAGGCAAGTACATGGTCTTTTACCTGAGTGGCCCAGACCTGGGAAACAGCAGGTTAGCAATACCTAGCAATGCTTTGCTATTACAGTAAGATATTAAGAGAGAAAAAGGACAGCTGCTATTAATTCTCTTGGCAGAGTGCATTCTAGTTATGATGTTTTCTTGTCCTTTGTTCATTTATTATGGAATTTGGCTTTTTTTTTTTTTCATCATAGAATTACTGATCTTACAGTGCTCCAGGTTGCTGGGAATACAAAGACATGAGTTCCTGCCTTCATGGCACTCACATGGTGATAAGACAAAGGGATACGTGTACTTCCAACAGTGTGTACTAGACTGGGTATTCTAAAATACATAAACAAAGGTTTGTGGGACCACAGTGGGTGAGAACTGTCCTGGGCATTGGAGGATGCATAGAAAGAATTTATTAGGCAAGGTAGTGGGGAGGAGGAGAGAAGAGGACATTTTATTTTTATTTATTTTTTTTTTAATTTTTTTTTCAACGTTTTTTATTTATTTTTGGGACAGAGAGAGACACAGCATGAACGGGGGAGGGGCAGAGAGAGAGGGAGACACAGAATCGGAAACAGGGTCCAGGCTCTGAGCCATCAGCCCAGAGCCCGACGCGGGGCTCGAACTCACGGACCGCGAGATCGTGACCTGGCTGAAGTCGGACGCTTAACCGACTGCGCCACCCAGGCGCCCCATGAGGACATTTTAGAAAAGCAATTTGTAAGCTGCACTCTTCCTCTTCCTCTCCAAAGCCTAAGGGCAGGCCAGTCCTCCCCCGTGTGCTCTGTGAGATGGAGCTTCTGACACTTCAGCTAAAGGCCAGGCTTGAGCTGTCAGCATATGGATTCATGTATCTTCTCATTCTGATTCAAGTACAATTAAGTAACATAAAAAATAACATTAAAACTGGAAAAGCTTGTTACTGGTCATCTGGATTCAGAGTAAAATGTTCACACTATGATATTTATGACAAGTTGAATTAGTAAGAGGTCTAAAATATAGAAATATTTTATAAATATAGTTTTATTACTTGGAAATACATACAAAAATTCAAACACAGCTAAAAAACAGTGGCCAAGCAGAGGTCCTATCCAACCTGTTTTAATGAACACATAAAACAGTTGTCATCGGCATAAAACAATTTAAGTTCTGAAACAACTTACTGTCTTCAGGGTCTGTAAATATTGGGCTTAAAAATTGACTACTGTTTTCTTATCACCTATTTAAATCTTTTCTCCAAATATAGACTATTTAAACATTTGTTTGGTTCAATGAGATGTTTTATTTAGAAAAATAGCTAAAGCCATTTAACTACAATTATTTTGAAAACTGTAATACTATTCATTTCCAGTCTTCTATCACCTATACATTTTGCATGATTTCTCAAAAATCTCCAGTAGTTGCTAAAAGAAAGCACTTGTAACTTCCAGCAGCTCTTTGGGACACTGAAGTTTGGTCTTAAGAGCCCTGACATTTTTTAGTTAAGGTGGCAAGATTGTTTTTATTTCTCATTTTTGCTTTTTTGTTTATGTCATTTCAGTTTGGCCCCGCTAGCCTAGATCTCATCAGAGAAAAATAGTGAGTTATTCTGCTTTTCTTGATTATTAACCCATTAAACTCATCTCTTCTTTTTGCCCCCAGGTTTTTCTCTTTTTTTTAATGGCTTCTTGGCAACTTTAGCACTTTCTGCAAATTTAAGCTCATCCTGAGATTTAATATTTCAAAACACTTTCATATTTCACTCTTTTTGGCCTCTATCATGCCAGTTTTTCCTTCTTTTGTATGTGACCTTTGGCAACGTCATCCTGGAGCTCTAGGAGATGCTTAGATGCCTATTCTCTATCTTCCTCTCTACGTTCATTTAACTATTTAAAAAATGTTTAGAATTTCCTCTAAAGGAAATTTTCATCCTTTTATGGCCCCCCTCAGTACTAGACCAATTTTTGAAAAACTTGAAAAGGTAGCAGGTTGACAAGAAGAAGGGACTGCTTCTAGTTTTCTGGTTTTGCGACTCAGCCGTTCTTTAGTCTTGGATCCTCCCCCCTCCCTTCCCCAGCTGAGGAGCCTCAGGCCCAAAGTCGATTCGATAAATGTAATATCCTCTGACGCAGAGTTCAGATGGGAAGATGGGTAAGTTGTGAGTTCTAGATTCCTGCAAGTTCTCTCTGTACATCCAGCTGGTGACAAATCCCTGTGGAATCTACATGTTTGCCATCTATTAGATCTGTTCCTATCTCTGCCATCACTCTTAGTTCAGGCTATTCTGTCTCCTGCGGTGGCCCATTTTATTGTATCTAGACCTGCTGCCACAGTATTCCCTCTCAAACTTGAATATGAGCATACTTCTGGCTTAAAATTTGTTAGTGCATCTCTACTGCCCATAAGATCTAGTACAAACCCTTTAGCTTGGCATTCAAGGCCCCGCACAATCAGCTCCCATTCTTGAAATTCCTTTCTCATTTTCTTAGCCACAGCACTCCCCCCTTCCCCACCCCATGCACTAGCCCTATGGCAAAAACTTATTTTCCCTAATGCATTTTGGTGTTTTGCATTTTTTTTTCCTTTTAAATAAAATTGGGCACCAAGTCCTGATGAATGTTCAGCCCTTAAGGGGTACAAAACTTATCCAACATCACTTTGCATCTCCTTCATTCAATAGACATTTGAGTCCCAATACACATAAAAGGTAAATAATGCAGCCTCAAATCTTTTTTAACAGCCATTCAGTTATATTCGATCACATTGAACATGTGTTCCTTGAGGCCTTTCTCCTAAGAACTACTCTCAAGTCAGCTCTCTGCAATCCAATATTTGAGTGTTATCTTTTATTTACAATATTTTTAAAGCTAATTACAGGATTATAAATTTATTCCAGTTAGCTGCATATGCTGCTTTCGGTGTTGTGTGCTGCCTTGTTGAATGTTTATGAATTTTCATTCTCACTGCCTTAGATTTGGTCTGTTCTCTGACCTGAAGGCTACAAATTTGATTTCAAAGGTACTGATTAAAAGCAAGGAATTGAACAGAACTAAGACCCGACCTTGAGGAAGCTCTGTCCTGCTTTTCTAGTTAACAACCTGGTAAGATATACTAAACATGCCCCTTATCAGCTTATTAACATTTACTATTCTGAATGAAATGATGGATAAGTCATGCATAACTAGGAATTCTAGGCTTTTTTAAAATAACAATCATTAAATATGCATTATAAATATTCACTTTATTTTAAAAGAATTGGAAGATGTTACATATATTACACACTACATATAATGGCACATGTCAGCCTTGTAAGCTTAAAAATAATCTTTCCCCAAACTGGGATTGACTTAGACTCCAAGTATAAAATGACTCTTGGCCTATAGCACCAACCCAGGCCCAGAGGAAAGCCAATTTTGAACCTGTCTGTCCTCTGGCATTGGGCTTCCTGATATGACACTGAGGGGCCTCTCCCTCTGGTTTTGTTCCCTAGCAGTATTGAGGCCTGGCACAGGGACCCATTTGACTATACACTGCAGGCCTGGGAAATCAGGGAATCTAGAGTGGGGAGGTCCTCTAACAATTTTACAATGGAAAAAATTAAAAACATATGTGCCTTATTGTCTTTGTTTTTGATCTATACATCCAGAACAAGACTCTACAAGATAGAAGGTGGTTAGAATTATTGAAGTACAATTTCTCTGCTGGTTTTTGTCTTTGGAAATGAACATGTCACGATAGGAGGAGCCTTAAAAGGGATCTGGTTCAACAGTGGTAACCTGCCTGCTCCACTAGTAGCTCAGATTTAGGTATAATTCAAAGTTTTAAATGCCATCCATATGCCATTTTGTTAGACAAACACATAGAAATTTAATAACACTTTTCATTTTCTTTTTCTTAATTTGTAAGGACAGTTCCTGCCAAATGTTCTGGCTTATGGCTCTCCTCCTCTTCATAGTATGTTTAAGTTACATATTAAGAATCCAAAAAATACCACTATGGAATTTTCATAAGCAATATCCGACCAATCAGTAAAACACAGTACACAGTGTGAAAATTTTCATTTATTCCCCTCCCCGTATCCAGAATATAGACCCTCTTAGCTTTGAGAAATGTGATAATGAAATACCAACAGAACTGATCATATGTAAAGAAAAGCACATACCACACAGGAAACATCCCTAAGTCCTCCCTAACCTAGTAGTGCGAGTTCACGGTATGTTTCTGGCGATGTCACCTTTCACTTGATTTATAAAAATTTTACAGGACAGATTTAAAGCAAAGATAGGCCTCTGGTTTTTATTTTTATTATTTTTTTTTTATCCCTAACAGATTTTTAAAAAGAGGCTATATTAAATGACAATGCATTTTGAGTCAGGGGGAGAAAAAAAATTAAAAACCCAAAACTTCTTTCAGTTTATTCAAAATAAAAATACACATAGAATTATGAAAATATAGGTTTACTATTTCCACCACGTAAGTTGATGCTGCTGTTTGAAAGGCTTGCAAATCGTTTTTCAAGTTTTTAAAGCTCATCTCGATCCCTCAATAAAGTATACCTATATTCGCTGGGTGCTAATTTCTGGAAGGAGCTCTCAGGTGGACTGCTTGCTACATCTTGGACTTGCTACAAGAGAAAGAATAAAACATTTTATAGCAACAGATTTTATGGAATTACACTATTTTAATAAGAGTAGATGAATGGTAGTTGTTTTATAATTATTTGCTCAATAATCACTATGTACCAAAGACCAGAGTTAAGCTTGAAATCTTACTTTCCCCGTTTCAAATGCCCTTACTCATCAGATTCCCCAGGGCAAGGGTGCCACACAGCCCTTAACTGTGGACCTGTTGACAGTTCTTGGGGTGTACGGGAAGGAAACACAATACCTGCCACCTAGGGGCTTTCCTAGAATATTCTGGAGAGACCGCACGGCTGTGACTATGTCCCAAACCCTTCTGTCCTACAAATGACCACTAAGAGGGTTAAAGGCACCCACTCTGTTCACAGAGCTTTTAACAATTACCTGGATGCCAGAAATTAGTTGACATGAGAAGGAAAATACTCCATACTTGTGCACCAACAGTAGACAAAAATACACAGTGGAACTGTAAGTGTGACTTCTAAGAATTTCAGATATCTAAGACTATCCTTTATCTCCACATTATGAGCTCCTCAAGAACAAACATGTAGTCCTTGTTTTAATATCCCCTGTAGTTAACAGAGGCACATAATGCCTGTGTTACACACTCTGGATACGGACTCATTCCCGTTAAATTGGGAAAGCAACATCTGCAAAGTTCCCATTTTATTTTGTCATGTTCCCCTTCTCCAATACCTTTTTTATTTATATTTTTACTGAGATATATGTTTGGTTTAAGCCATACTTCTATTACTAGAAAATGTAGGTTCACTGTCTAATGGAGAAGTATACAATAATGGTAAGTAACATCTTTTCCTAATCTGATA